GGGGGTGATTTCTCACTGTCTGTCTCTCTGTCTCTCTCTGTCTTTCTGGCAAGTGCACACGCCCTATAGCAAAAACCTCTCGAAAAAATTTTAAAGAGGAATAAATAAAATTAAATAAATAATTCTTAAAAAAAAAAAAAAAATGAAGACTAAAATTAAATGGAACAATTCTTGGGGCCGGCAGGTGTCATGGTAGTTAAGGGCGCTAGACTCCCACATGGTCCACCACAGTTCGAGTTCTGGACTTGGCGGTTTGCTTTCTCACTCTCCCTCTCTCTCTCTCTCTCTCTCTCTATCTCTTTCTCACTCTGTCCCTCAATGGTCAAATTAAAAACAAATAAAGTTAATAAAATAATTCTTTTAAAAAAAGAAGAATACGTAGTCAAGCATGTGTGCTCTAAATCCCAGAAGAATGGAGGAGAAGTGATCAAAGTCTAACACCCCCTTAGAAGGTGCTTTCTCAATTTCTCTCTCTCTCTCTCTCTCTCTCTCTCTCTCACTCTGGCCCTCTCTGGCCAAATTAAAATAAACAAATAAATAAAGTTAAATAAAAAATAATTCTTAAAAACAAAACAAAAACGAGGGCCCAGCACTTGGCGTCATGGCTATGTCGCTGGACTCCCACGTAGTCGACCGCGGTTCAAGTCCCAGACCCGGTGGCTTAAAACTCACGCCGGGCGCATGTGCGTGCGTGCCCAAGATCCCGCGAGGAGAATGGAGGAGAAGGGACTGCGGCGTGACCATCCCCCCTGGGGGGTGATTTCTCGTTTTTGTCTCTCTGTCTCTCTGGCGAGTGCACGTGCCCTATAGCAAAAACTTCTCAAAAACAAAACAAAGCTAAACAAACAAAAAACAGAAGAGCAAAAAAAAAAAAAAACAAACAAAAAACCAGGCCATGGACACATATTTGCCTGTGTTTGGAATAGCGCCCGGTGTGAAGCGCCTGCTCTGTGCCCTGCAAGCAGGCCTGGGTCCCAAGCCCTCAGGTCTGGCCATCTTGCTCGCAGCCTCACTGCCCCCTGTGCCCCCGCTTCCCCCGCGCACCGGGTGCGGAGTACCTGCGAGGTCCGCGTGTACTCCTCATACAGCTGGTCGTACTCGCGGCTCTTGTCCTGGTACTGCTGGTGATAGACTTTGAGCTGGGCACCCACCGCCTCCACGTTGTCCTCCTTGACGATCTGGTCCTGGGGGCAGACAGGGAGTCCCATGGGGGAGGCTGTGCGGCTTCAGTGGGCCTCTCTGGGGAAACGGAGGGGCCCTGCTGTCCCCCGGCTTCTGCCCCATCGGGCACAGACCTGCTGGTACTTGGACACGGGGTAGAGGAGCCGCGTGTCCAGCTTAGCGTTGTACTGGGCCAGAGACTCGTGGCGGTAGTGGGTGATGAGGTCCACGACGGAGCAGAAGGTGAGCGGTTCCGAGAAGCCATAGTGCCCGTCCCGGTGGAAGACCTTAATGAGCTTGTTGTTGCCGCCTTTCCTATGCGGGGGGAGGCAGGAGAAGGGGGTGTGGATACTGAGTGAGTCCCAAGCCTGACTCTCCCCCATGCAACCCCCAGGGGCATCACCCCTACCTGAGGGTCAGTGTGTACTCTCCCTGGATCTTACTGGATGCATCTCGGACTAGGAAGGTGCCATCAGGCGTGTCCCGCAGTTTTTCATTCACTTCCTCCCTGTTGGGACGGCCTGGGTTAGAGCTGCCCACTTGGAGGCCCCGTCTACCCAGAGGCCACGCCCACCACACAGCAGGTCCGGGGCCAGGCCCAACCCATCTGCAGGCTCCACCCACCACACGACAGCTCCTAGGGGGCACCACCCACCTGGAGGCTCCGCCCACCACGCCACAGGTCCATGGCTACGGCCCCACCCACTGGGAGGTCTCGTCCACCACACAACCCCTCCTTGCACTGGGCACCACCCACCTGAAGGCTCCGCCCACAATGCACCACCTCCTTAGCCCCTCCTACTCACCTAGAGGCCCCGCCCACCACACAACAGCTCCTAGAGCTGGGGACCACCCACCTAGAGGCTCCGCCCACCATGAAGAAACTCCTTGGGCCCGGTGATCGTGCCTACCCAGAGGCCCCGCCCACCACAAGGCAGTTCCTTGGTTTTGGCCCTGCCCACCCAAAGACCCTACCCACCTACAGGCTCCGCCCATCATGCAGAAGCTCTTTGGGCCCTGCCCTCCCCTCCCAGAGGCCCTGCCCACCACATGACAGCTCCTTGGCCACACCCCACCCATGCGACCCTACCTGGAGATGTCTCCCCAGTACCACTCCGCATCCTGCAGGGAGGGTGTGCTCCCCCCATTGGCCAGGCCTGTGGGGGCCGGCTTTGCCTTGGGGGGTTTAGGTGGCAGTGCTGGAGGACAGAAAAACACATGCACCTTGTAACCGCTTGGATATTGCCCTGACCCCATAGCAACCAGGCCTGCCTGTTATAGGCAGGAGCCCGGGGTGCGCCTTCCCGGCCCCGTAAAAAGCATTCCAGGCCCCGTAACCAGAATGAAGGGTGGTACTGGGTGCGTGTGGCGGAGTTACCTGGGGGCGCGACCTCTTGCTCTTCCAGATGTTCCTGAAGCAGCTTCTCCACCAGCAGTGCTGGGAAGTCGGGGTTGGGCTCGTTCCTGCGGGATGGGGCATGCAATGAGGGTGGGGCGGGGCCTGGCTACCCACGGTTCTGCGTGTGCCTGCACACCTGGGCAGGTGCGTATATGAGAGTATGTGCAGGAGACGGAGGGAAGATGGCACAGACAAATGTGCAAGGCCAAGGTGTACACCGCACGTGCTTCCTGAAAGCTTGTATAGTGGGGCTAGCAAGTGGCTAGTAGTTGAGGCACTGGACTCCCACGTGGCTGACTGCAGTTCGAGTCCCAGACCTGGTGGCTTACTTTCTCACTCGCTCTCTGTTTCTAGTAAGTGTATGTGAAAAAAAAATAATAATAAATAAAATTAAGTAATTCTTTTTTTAAAAACATTTATTTATTTATCTATTTATTACATGAGTTTTGCCAAAGAAAGACAAAGAGAGAGAGAGAGAGAGGGGAAGCAAGCCACCAGGTTCGGGACTCGAACCATGGTTGGCCATGTGGGAATTCCAACGCCTTAACCACCACACCATCGGCTGGTCCCTTAAGTAATTCTTTAAAAAATTATTTAATTTAAAAATAATTTAATTTTGTTCTTTTTTTTTTTTTTGAGAGAGAGATTTTTGCTATAGAGTGCATGTGCTCACCAAAGAGACGGAGAGACAGAAAGTGAGAAATCACCCCCATGAGGATGGCCACGCTGCAATCCCTTCTCCTCCATTCTCCTCTGGGGATCTTGGATGCACACACATGTGCCTGGTGTGAGTTTCAAGCTGTTGGTTCTGGGACTTGCACTGCAGTCGAGAGTCCTACGTGGGAGTCCACCAATGTAACTATTAGCTATCTGCTGGTTTCTAATTTTATTTATCTTGAATTTGACCCGAGAGAGAGAGACACACAGAGATGGAACAAGCAGTTGGAGAAGTGGCTATGTCGCTGGACTCCCATGTAGTAAACTGCGGTTCAAGTCCCGGGCCCGGTAGTTTGAACTCATGCGGGGCACGTGTGCGTGCGTGCCCAAGATCCCGAAAGGAGAATGGAGGAGAAGGGATTATGGTGTGGCCGTCCCCCCCGGGGGGGGGGGGTTTTTCGCCTTCTTTCTCTCTGTC